ATGAACATGATCATGCTCATCGTGCAGCAACAACACGAGCACCATCACCAGTTAGAGAAATTGTTAAAAATTCTGTTGCAGCTGGTCTTTCTTGCATTCAAACACGTCGAGCTATTGAACATCAATATCAAGGTGGTGTTTCACGTTCACAATTATGTAGTTTATTGAATTATCATCGATCACTAGCAGTACCTGATATACACTTTGTCGATGATTTTCGATCGTGGTGTCACCAACATTCAGCATTAGCTGTTGGTCCAACAGCAATACATGAGCCTTTTGTTGCTAAATTTTATATTAATTCATGTAATGATATATTTGTATTTATAACAACACGTAAATTAATATCTACTGCTCCATTATCTGGCATGTTACAGGTTGATGCAACATTTAAATTAAATTGGAACGAATTACCAGTTTTAGTCTTTGGAAGCAGTGATGGTAATCGTCGTTTTTTTCCATACGGTATTGCAGTTATTGGAACTGATGAAGCAGCAAGTTCGTATATCACCTTGTTTCAAACAGTAAAAGAATGTGTATTTAATGTTACAGGTAAATTAATATAAAAATGTTTATAGTTCGATATACTTTCTATCCATTTTAGGCCTTCAATACAATGTCCAATATTTAATGGCTGATGGTGGTAAAGGTATTACAACTGCACAACAATTTGAACTGCCGAACTGTAGAAGATTGATGTGCTGGTCCCACGCCATCCGAAAAATACGTCAACATCGAAAAATGATTCCAGTTGAAAAATGGCGTGGGATAGAACGTGATATTTCAACATTACAATTATCATTCAATGATAATATTTTTCAAAAAGGATCATCATTATTATTAACAAAATGGAAATCTGATCCAGAGTTATTTATGTTTGCAAATTATTTTGAACAAACATGGTTATTAGATTTAAAATTCTGGTATGAAGGTGCGGCTATTGGATATCCATTAACAAACAATGGTCTTGAATCTCTTAATAATCGGATTAAACAACAATATACATTACGTAACAAGTTACCTTTACCAAAATTTATTAGTACTATGGATACTATGCTTCGTGAATGGTCAAGAAAAACAGCTGAAGATGAATTTCAAACATATCCAAAAATTAGTGTTGAAATAGAAAAACAAGCATGGAAATGGTTGAAAGATCTTAATAAAAATTCTATATTTCATTGGCATAGTTATTCGTATATTGTTCCATCTACAAGCAACAAAGATTATAGTTCATCTTTATGGTTACAAGAATATGCAACATTTCCATGGAAAAAATTTGAAGATTTTTCAAAATGGTTCTACGCTGGTCGACTTGTTACATTACCAATGATGTGCAGTTGCAAAACAAATTTAAAAACATATGTATGCAAACATGCAGTTGGTATTTCAATTCATTTTGGTTTATATATTATATCTGATCCAAATAAATTAGAAAGTTTAGGAAAACGACGTGGACGACCAAAAAAAGCAGGACCAGCTTTATTTCGTTAATTTTTTTCTGTTATTAAGAATTATGTTATTTTTTCAAAATAAATAAACTATAGCAGGCTCAAAATAATAAATAATCGGGCTCATTTCACATTTCGTGATTAAAAAAGAACACAATTTTTTTTTTGAGCCCGAAGAATTTTCATCAGGCTCAATTAAAACGAACAGGGCTCAAATGTTTCTAATTGGGGGCTCAGAAAAATTCTTGTCC